TCAGCGCAGAAACAGTGAAATAACGATGGAACATAGCTCTTTATTGTTTTTTACGACTGGCCATTCAATAGTACACCCAGAGAGAACTGTGTCTGTTTTGCCCCAAGTCACCAGGTGCTGCCTCTTGCTCATCCATAAATGTCTCAGGTACCCTGTAATTTATTAAGCTGAAGTGAATAATTTATATTGATTTCAGTTTTTTTTTATATAAGCCACCACTACCCTGAGCCCCATGTAGCCCATGGATTCTTCTTCATGGAACATATGCGGCATAAAAATATAACTAGACACCGATAAGCACAATCCATCAAGCGTTGCCAGAAGGGATATTTGCATGGGAGCGCACTTCCCGATGTACTTTATAGAATTGTGCCTGTGGGCTAGCACACCTGACGTGTGCTAATTGGCTCTGAGAACAATAGAGCTACACGTTTCCCACAACTGCGTTCACGCTTCCCAACGCCCAAAATGAAAGACAACTAAGGAGCATGTGGTACTGTTGCACGGCAGGTTCTCCTAACTGGACGCCTTTTAAAGCAAATATTGGAGAATCAAGGATTCCCCATTATTGCTGAGGCAAAGTAACATCTAGACGATATTGCCAGCCCACACACACACACACCCTCACACACACACTGATGTAGACCTGCCAGTGTTCTTTATGTGCTCAGTGAATGGCCATGAGGATGAAAAGTTGTGCAGCCAGCCTATTGATGAGCATGTCTGTGCAAAAGCGCACACACACACACACACCCACACACACAGAGGAAGCCTCGCCTTCAACACCCCCAACCCTTCCCACACACACACACACACACACACACACACACACACTCTTTAATTCGTCTCAAATATTGGTCTGCCTCCTCATCTCTCGCTGTGCGTCCATGCGCGACCGATCCCACCGACATTTTCCACCGCAGGATTAACTGTGTAGCGCGACGGGCTGCTCTGCCTCAGTGCACCTAAAGGGGCTGACCCCGAGGTGTCTGTGTGTGTGTGCGTGAAGAGGTGGCCAGCATGACGCTCCTTAAAAGGCTATTAGATCCTTACTGCTTATCACGAGTGGGCGTGCAACTAAATCATCTCCCCTTGTCAGGACTATAGGCGGAAAAAAGCCTGTTTTCCGGGAATAATTAATCCTACTTGTTGGCATGATAATAATATTGAGGAGAACACGTTGCTAGGCGCCTGGAGTGTTTCCTCATGAGCCGTCGTCTCTGACAGGTGGGCCGCCACTGATGGAGATCATCCTCTAGTTTAGCTTCCTGCCTGCAGGACCTTCCGATTGCATTACAACCGAGTCACCCTCTCTGGAGAAGGGGATTGGATTCAGACTGTAGTGCGTGCAGTGTGTGTGCAGTGTGTCTGTGTGTGTTTGCGCGCAAGGCCTGCGTGCGTGTCCAGGGCACGTCTGGAAGCAGAGCAGAGCCCGGTTACCATGCCTACACTTTTTTTTTTTTTTTTTTGGGCCAAGAGACAGTGCGTTTATCTTAACGAGTTCATTTTCAAGCTTATGTTTGCCTCCGTCCTCTCTGTCAGCTGTGTACACACTCTAAACAGCCATTGAGCAGAGGCCTTCTCCATTGCTAAAAGTCACTTGGGTGAAATAGCTTATTGATTCTTGGGGGGGGGGGGGCATGATTAAATTGAGGTCTAAGTGGACACTTCATCTGAACTCTCCACAGGAGAGAATAGGAAAGTATAGGAGCCGGTCTGCTTTTGTCCGGGTTCTGGTCCACTTCTATGTCCTCTTTGATGTGGTTAAATTAATTGCATTCTATTCTTTTTCGTGTTAGAAATAGATTGTCGCATTTACTTCCAATTTTAATTAAAAAGAAAATGGGGCTTCACAAGTTTTGTTCAACATATAGTCTTGAAACTACTGTCACGGAGAATACCGGTTTATTAGTCCTGCAGATGAAAATCACTCACCTGCTCTTTTTACATCTTGAACTTGAATTGTGTGTTGGATTATGTTGGAGACGTTCGCTTGGCTTTCTACACAGGTGCCGTGCAGCCAGAGACGGAACAGACGTTGTGCACATTGTGTTCAGTAGGTGTGCTAATCAGGAGTCGGGATCCTCTGATCGCTGCCATGATCACTGAGCGCACCATCTGTGGTGCTCCGATGACCGGCAGTCTGGCTGAGAGAGCCGGAGAACAGTCTGCTGCGGTCTCTCCCCGTCCTCACAGGGCTGCAGAAGAAAAAAAAAACCTGGAACCACTCAACACTTGCCTCTCCGACACGTCTTAAGCTACGTCGCCATTACAACAGTAAACATTTCAGATAACCCACATGAAGCATGCGGCCCCCTCGCGGATGTTTTTTTTTCTTCTCTTTTTTGATTTATCTGTTTTAAGACACATGTTGTTTGATCAGCTTCTCTGAAGTGTGCCGCGCTGAATAAATCAACTGGCAACGCGGATCTGGAAATAATTGAGAAGGCTGTTAAAGGGCCACGGATAACGGAGAATTGTGCACGCATGTGGGCAATTTCGTTGCCGGAATTCCGCCTGTTTTTCATTTTGACGTCACAGGTCATAAACGGTACCCGGTTGCATATCTGGTTGTCGCTGAGTTCAAATTGTCCGAGGCGTAACTCCCCCCCAAACCTCGACCTGAAACAAACATGCTCGACTCCACGATGCATCAACACCAGGACAACTTTTCATCAGATGCCTCAGCGATCGGTGTGAAAGATAAGGGGCACCTGTTACCATGGCAACTTATAAAAACCATACACAGAAATGCCACATAAATGGGTTTTCTCATATTGATTCGGAGCTCAGAGAATAAAGCACATGGTATCAGCCAAAGGCAGGCTGGCCTGCTTCTGTCTGCCAGGCTCGAGGCTTATTGACCGTTTTTTTGACAGACTGAACAGCAGAAAAACGGGCCGCGTGCCCAAAGTTCAATTAAAAGCGCCACTGTGTGCGGTAAGCATATTCACCAAATGGTGGGAAACGTGTAAGTCGGTCTCCGTGCTACCTCAGCGATTTGGTTGTCCTTCAGGGAAGTCGATGGCTTCAGAGTAACTCATTTAAACAAATCCCCTCTGACGCTGTGACGTTTGTCTTCACCGGGCAGGTTGAAGGAGATTTGTGTGCATCACGTGAGCTACATTTTCAGGTTTGTGCAGGGCCATGGACTGTTACCACCTGCATGTTTCATTCTGTGCTCTCAAAGCAGAAAGTGTGTGTGTGGGGGGGGGGGGGGGGCAATATGGCTTTTGAACGTTCTGCACTTTCCTCTCATTCGGCCCGGTCTCACCCGAGGAGGGGGGGGGACAGCAGGTCAAGAGAGCATTATTTTGATTCCAGTGACACAATACGGCTGCATCTTGTCATGGTCAGATAACCTTTAGTGATTGCTGCTTGAGGGAGGTATGTAATTCATGACAAGAGATGTGTCATGAATTAAAGGTGTTGTAAAGAAAAGTGTTTCCGTGAGAGCGCAGTGAGGGGGCTTATCTCATTTATAAATTGAATTTGTCTACAAATCAAGTGCCGGCGACGCACGGTGACAGACGGGCAGCAAAAGAAGCGGAATTTACGAGAGTTTATTGAGTTGCACGACCTGCTTATACTTTCTCCCTGACGTCCTTTTATGGCATTTTAACAATCGGTTCAGAGTGTGAATAAATGTTTGCCTTCTTGCCCCCGTAAGTCATGTCCCAAAATCCGTGAATCAACTGGGCTGGAAGTTGCGAATGAGCCAGGGAAAGAGGAAGAGGCTTTCCCCCGGGGCAGTGCCCAGGACAATGTCAGGTCTGTCTGGCCCGAGTGCATGAACACTAAGCTTTTCGGAACTGGCAGCCCGCCCCCGGTACCTACCCATCTCCCCCGGCGTCCAGAACTGTCCGGCCCGGAGCATTAAGCGTTGCAAAGTTCTCTTGTTTGTGTGGCCATAATGGCAGCTCCATCCTGTTGTAGCTCAAAGAGTGCTTATGGGCTCCGAGGGCCTAGCGCTGGCGCGGCAGAGCCGTGTGAGTGTTCTCAGTTACTGACTTTGGCTCTCATTATGAAAAGACCAGTGTCCCCCCCCCCACCACCACCACGACAGCTCCGAATCTCAGCCACCAGCATCAGCATCATCGCGTTCTTCGCCTGCCTTTTAAACCCAATTTGCTAAATGGAAACTTTAAGGTTTCATGAAAAGTCCATTCACAAAATTGCAAAATAAATCAAGACAATTTAAATTCAATACCGCAGAAAAGGCATGCAATCTACCATTAAATGTAATAATTAAATGAAATACATTTAAATTGAAATTGCCCATAACAAGCTGCTAAACGGCTTCATATATGTGTCCGGTGCTATAAAAAGGTACTCAAATCTCACCTCCACCGTTCCCCAACAGTCAGCATTTGTGAGTGATAATAACCTTGTTATTTGCGGCTGCAGGTTTGGTGGAAGCAGCCTCGCCCATGGCTGGTGTTCCTACCGCGGTTACGACCCCAATCAGCATAATTCAAGCATGACCCTCCTCCCCCCCTTTCATTTTCTGCACTTCTCCCTGTTAAAACCCCAAGTCTCAGACTAGGGTCCACACCATACATCATCCAGACTAGGGGCGCTCCCCCCCCCCCTCATGTGTCGTGGGAGAGAGACTGCGTTTTTCTTTTTTACGTGTGTGTGTGTGTGTTGTTAGGTTCTTATCGACAGTTTCAGCACTCCCTGTGCACTGAGCTTTCCCCTGACATGTCAACCAGCCTCCGCTCTACTCCTTCTGTATAGTCTGGCAGCCGGGTCTCTGTTCACCAGCGTGGAACAATCAAGAGTCCCTTCCAATCCAGCTTGCATGCGACAAATCACAGATTTTTTTCGATCCAAAAATCCCATTTTAGGGTTAGGAAGAGAGGAGCGTCGCTCCAACAACAGCGGACCAACGCTGAGTGACAACCTCTCAGCAGCATTAGCAATTAGGGAGATTGTCACCGGCTGACAGAAGAAGATTGCAGGCAAACAGATTTTCACACAGCAGGCGACCCCCCCCCCACACACTGTATACTCTGCATGTTCATTCTACAGTGGATCACTGGATATGAAAGAGTTTTCAGCGCGACTTTCAGGTGCGGCGAACGTCTTTCATGAATGACACTGAAGGGAAGTGGGGAGCGAGATGGAACTTGCATTCCTCCACTCCCCTTTGTACGCCCACTGTGAATAGCCTTTGGATGGGGCTTTGTGGGAATGATTGTCAGTAGCTTAATGAGCCTCTAAGCCAAGCTAGGAGCTTTGGCAACACATGTAGCTACAGTGTCTTAGTTCCAGCGGGTATGGCCCGACGCAGTACGGGCCCGGCACTCTCCGTGTTTCTGCAAATCTGATCTTGACCCAGCTCACGGTTATTTCCCCCTTTTTCTTGCGGATGGTATTACCTGGAAGAGAACGGTTGCCCCTCTCATGGGGACCAGAGCTGAGAATGAGGTGGAGTAAGTATCTCGTAGTATCGAGGGACGTCTGTAAAAGCTGCTGCAGCAGAATCGGGCTGAGCTTGTTTTGGTCTTTCTGTGTGCAGCCGGAGACACTCCGGGAGACAGCCAGTAGATATATACTTTTATTTGTTTTCTACAAAAGCTGATGATTCACATTGCTTGTTTTCTTGCTTTTTGTAAATGCAAAATACTTAAATGTGAAAAATGAGCTTTGTGGCATATTGTAGAAAAAAGATTTTTTTATTAATAATTCATTCTTTTCTATCAGCACACACCCACCAGGGTCACTTCTAAGAGCCAAGTGAGCTCTATGACTAAACAAAGCCTTCAAAACTCCAAATAACTGTTGCAGGAAAAAAAATCAACAGTTTATATAAGTGTTTACTTCATGAGATGTTCTTGTCTTATTTACCAAGAAGTCTGACAAATATCTGACTAGGCCGATAGTTGAATTGTAGAACATTCACAAGTGCTTCATGGGAGACGTGAGACACATTAAAAGTACCATCTGCAGCCGTCAATTTGGAATCGCGCTGTTTATTGTAAGTATGCAAAACTCATTAAGATAACGCTTCCTTTAGTTGATTTAAGTTGTGATGATTAATCACATTATTCTGTACATTGACTCAACAAACAAACAAGTGAGATTAGACATAGAAAATAAATACATAATTACGCCAGCTGGCTGCACCAGTTCATTGATGTAGATTAAAGGTCTCTTGTTTGTTTCACAGGATGAATTTCATCACATTCAAACAGTTCTGAAGTCACGTGTTCAGGCCTCGTAGGATACAAAAGTCTCTAACTTCACTGGATCCGATGCATTGGACTGTACAGCAGACTGAACGTACACTTTATAAACAGTATTTCAGTGTCATTTCTGGAACACTCGCTAAACAAATACAGATCCACGTTCACTTACTGGAAGTACATTCTGCCCCCTGCCAAAGCAAACGTACATCAACCGGCCTCCAGGAGCATCACTATGGACCTACAAACATCTCTATTTACATGTATGATAACATGTAACATAGAGATATTCAGATTTTGAGATAACGTATTTAAGTTATGGCTTAAAAACATTTACATTGAACTTCTCATCCCAAGTTAGTTGTCTCGAAATGTTAGATGTGCATTAAGTTTGACTGTTGAACACATTGATGGTTGGCTAAAGCTACAGTATGAGCTGCTATAGCTTTGCAATGTATTGTGTATGTGTATTAGCATCTGTGGGTGAAACCAAACTCATTTGTTTTAGATGCAAATATCGCAGAAGCATCGTGCTTCCATCGGTTTCCTGCCTTAAGAGAGTCGTGTGGAAGGCAGGTGATGGAACAGGGACAAAGATAGCTGTCAGGTTTATTAGGTTTTAATGTTTTAGAGAGCAAAACGGACGAATGATGCCCTTTACTGTCTCGTCCGAGCTGTTGCTTGGAAACATTGTGTGCATTAGGAACAAACAGTCAGTGACATACACCCGTAGTTTATGAACTAAATCCTGCAAAATGAAGGTCAGACTGTTAAGTTTTGTTTGTAGATGTGTTGATTCAACTGCGTGGTCATTTTGGAGAATGTAATTTGTGCTGCCGTTGAACTGTTAGTATAAAAGTGTTGGACATAAATAATAAACACTGTACAATCCCACAGCAGCACAAACTGCAGCCTCCAAAATGAACATTATATATTAATAACGGCTTTATTGCAGGACTGTTGGCTCGGCGTACCTAACGAGCTCGTTAGGATTCCTTGACTATAGCGTGATGGGTCTATTGTTGTCTCTGTAGGGCATCCAATGAGAATAGTGAGACTCCACCTTGTCCGATTTTAAAGTCGTGAATCACGAGTGTCTCTCTTGGATATGTCTCAACACAACCTCGGCCCGACCCTACGCAGTGATGGAGAGGCACAGGAAGTGGGCCACACATCCGACAGCTGTGTCAAACAGCTTACCCAGAGTAACGCTGTCCAGATGCTCGGCTCCAGCACGGAACCGGAATTACAGTGAGCAGAGAAACTCCAATCCCGCAAACTGAAATTATGATTTCGACTACATGTATCAGACACCTGAAGGGATTTATTTTTTTTAAATGGATGATGGGATTTCTGTAAAAATGTGGTTTTGCTGCTGCTCAGTGCGTGCTGGAAACATCAGGATTTCTTGGTTGTTTGGTGGGAAATAAATTCCTTCGAGGGCCTGATGGAGGTGAGCATTTGGGATATATATATAAGAGCCATCGATCATGTCTTGCTGTGGCACAGTTTCGTCTGGGGAAATTGCCAGCATCAGTCAGACGAGGTGGATGCATGCGGAGCGGAGCACGCTGTGTTAGCTCTCACAAAATATTATTCCAGTCCCTGCAGTCCGGCTTGTGAATTCATCTCTCTGCCGGCTACTCGGCGAGGATCACACACTAATGTGATTATTGTCCTGGGCGAGGGCCCACTCCTGCGGGACTTCAAAGAGAGCAGATCAGAGGGAAAACGAGAAAAAAGCCGTAAGCTGTGATGTGCACAGGTGCAGTGCACTTTCAGAAACTCTCTTTTTGCTTTAAATGTATTAACAGGTTCAAAGTGAGGACTCTGACAGCACCTGGTATGCTGTTCTACATACAGTACAGTAGCTCATACATTCTGCATGATTTATTGTCATGTTATTAGGTGTTTTCAATCAGCAGACATAAGACTAGAACTGAAAGACATATTATAATAATACAGCTCAATTTACTATCAAATTTGTATTGGTTTACCTTTTTTCCCCCCTTTGCATTAATTAATTAAGGAGACATTACATGTGGGAATTGAGTGTGTTGACATTGCATAACACGTCTTCATCTATTAACTAAGGCCACCACATCTTCATTATGGATGTGCATACATTTACATTGACATACTGACATGAAACAAAATACAAAAATACATGGTGTGGTTTGCAGTTTTAAGAGTATTCTCCTCAGGACAGAGCCCTAAGGACACTAAAGAAAGAAGGTTAATTTTTAATTTACAATTATTTATTAGCAGAACGAGGCTGCTGCCCGCTAGTCAAGCTTCCAGTTGGCCCTGCGCTACCTTAAATTGTGATTAAATAATTCAATCGTGAGGCTTTTCTCGACTTTTCAAATGTTATCGGACCGAATTGATCAGATGCTGATGCTGTAACGAGTCATTCCGCGGGGGTTGTGACGCATTATATCATTTACAGCCACAACAGCAGCGATGACGGAGGCTACAACATGTTGGCTGTTCATGTTACGCTAATGTTTTTGCAGGTAGAGAAAAAAAACTGATTCAAAAATAACTTAAATCGATAATAAATGTCATGAATGCATCATCCTCACCATGGAAGATTGTATCGTGAATTTTTTTCAAGCCCGTTTTAATGCCCGGCCATAATGTAGAGATATCACTGCACTGTACTGTACTGTATGGCCCGATTACTCTGTGCACAACTTTGTAGTTTACACAGACAAACGCAGCTTTCACACAGACAAAGGAGCAGCTAATTAGGCGCCGGGGAGCCTCATTGCTCTTTGTTCATGAAAAAAAATCTAAAGCTTTTAGAAAATTGCCCATTACTGACAAGACGGAAACCTCTAGTGGTTGGAAAACCTCTTCAGTCGTCTGTGCATTTGATTTCAAATGAACCGCATCACACGTTCACTTGTTTATGATCATCCTGCTGTGGTACTGTATGCGGCAACGCAAGGCTGTGCGGGGTCGCTGCAGGTTAGACGTGGTGTATCCCCTGGGGAGGAGAGTTCACCTCAGGTCGTTCTTATTAGTTCATATAGAACACGGGGGGTCAGGAACCCCACGGTTCATCAGTGCAGCTGCTCTATATCGTTCTCATTCCTCCACACCTGGGAGCTTTCCCCTAACCCTCCACCTCCTCCACCCTCCTCCTGCCACCCCTCCACCCAGCTCCAGTCCCCTCATCCCGCCAAAGCCACAGACCCCTGAAATATTAATGCTGGGATAATTGAACTGCCACGCTTTCCGAAGTGCAGCAATAGAACGAGACAAATCTCAATTATTCGAGCATATTATCTAATATCGCTCCCACTTCCTAATCTCATTCAGCGACTTGTTTTTGTTGCTTTTCTTTTTTTTTTTCTCCCGCTACTGATATTTCAATAATAGATGAATTGCATGGCCAAGCAAGTAGAACATGGATTGTGTGAATTGTTGCCAAAGGTCAGAATACAATCTATTTCAAATACTGAAGTGGGGGAAACTAAATCTAGTCTGAACACAGACGGAAATTAATTTATAAAAAAGAATCTTACACGAGCTTTGTGTTTGAACCGAGAGCTATACGCAGGGCGTCAGACTTGCAAGCTAAATGAGCTATTGATTGGAGAAAAAAAGAGCAAAACGAGGAGCAAAGAAACTGCGCTCATTACGCACATCAGAAGCAACGCGAGTCAATCGGCGCTTAGTGTTAATCAGCTCGGCCTTTTGTCTTAATTGTTCTGGAGTGATCAAATGGGAATCAGTGTGGAGGCATTATCGGGACGGCGAGAGGGGGAGTGTGGGGCTGCCGTCTTCCCCCGTCTCAGGTCTTTAACGTAGAGAATATTTTTAATCCAGGCTGACAAGACGAGGATCTGCTTAATCCTATTACAGGCTCGCACATTAAACTACAGTAGGCCCACACGTCTCTGCCTGTTGTCTTTGTGTGAGAGAGAAGCAGATGGTGCCAGCTCAAGAGCCTACTGTAGTGAACTGCGCTTGGACCCCCACCCCGTTACTAGACAACACATCCACAAGTGTGTGGAATGCTGGAGGAAACAGCTTGTTGTTGTGCTATTTATTTCCTTCGGAATCGTACCCATGTGATCCTTACAGGCGTGGGTTCCATTTTATAGGTTTGTGAACGTGTTTAGGGGTCAAAGTTAAGGTGTAACGCGGTGCCAGATGGCCGAACCATACGAGTCACGAAACAGAGAAGAGCTTGCCAATTCTACCGCAGAAGTGTGCCAAAGTCAGTGGAAGCGGCACAGCGATAAGAGGACACAGTTTCCAATAGTTTGGGGAACGCTGAAAGACTCTAACAAGAGAATTGAGGTGAAGTAGGGCAGAGCGATATAAACAGTAGTAGCCATAGAGTATTTTATGATAAGAAAATAAGAAATGTTACATTGTTAACAGTGTACTTAAATCCTATCATTCAAAGCTATTTCTAACCAATTGCATGCCATTTTCTTAATGAACTGAAAGACCACTTCCCTAAATAAGGGTTGGTTTAGTCACCTAAACACACCGCATGATGTTGTTTCGGTTTCGAAAGTTGGCGCGACGAGTGCTTCCTCTGAGGAAACTCTTTCTAGTCACAGACACAAACTGCTCCTCAGTGTAAAGAACTGTGGAAGACAGGAAGACACCAGTGGTGTGACGATACTGCGACTACTTAAAAGCCAGTTTGCACACTCCGAGACAGTTCCTATCAGCTGCAATAGGCCGACATGAAACAGAATCAGACAGGTGACGTATACTGTTCACTAAGACAGGAAATACCACAAACTACATGCATCACCATCTGATAGAGCAAGAGCAAGCCAGCGATTAGACCCGTCCCGGCGACCGACGTCCAGCTGGAACGTTACAACGTGCTGTCACTTCATCAACAGATTTTTAACAGAAGTTGTTGCTATTTTAATTGCAAATGGAACATCAGATGTTGTTGGACATGAGGGATTTTAACCGATACATGGCTGACCCGTGGTACAAGCTTCCAGGATATAAACACATCACACTGTGAGATTTAAGGATTTAGAAATACAAGATGAAGAGAATCTTTTAGCTCATATATACTGGATATCTATATTGACTCTGAAGAAAAGTAGCTCCATCATTTTTGTTGCCATGCCACCCAGCTTAAAGGTGACTCAGCATTGACAGCATGGAACTCATGACAGGATTTGGAAAAGTTGGAAGTTTGAAAAAGGCATTGAAAGGTCACTTTTGTATATTTCAACATGGACCCTATTTTCCATGTTTTTGTATCTAAGTGTCTCATACTGGCAACAGTCTTTGAAACTGTGCCAGTATGAAGTAAGTAAGTGCCTGTTTTTAACACTGGAAGGCTCAGATTGTTATCAGAAGTGTCTGACAACACTATGAAAAGGACTCTACAGAGAAATATAACATTTTTCTTTACATTCTGCTTGATCTGGTGCGTTTGTGAAAGTGTCGAATCAAGTTTCACCTAAAGTGGAAGTGTCTTTCTGAACTCTTGCAGGAGGTGACTTGTTACCAGAATGTGGAAATCTGAGCGAGAGTTGCAGAGAGGAGTGTTGGCGTTGTCAGAGTACAGAAAGAGTAGCTTAGAGAAGAGTTTCAGTCATTGCTGAATATTTAACTGATTTAGACAAATTGGATGCGATGTGAGATTTCAGAACGAGACTTGGTTAGACACACACACTTTTTCTCTCTCTGGTTGCATTAATGTTTCTCAGACACTTAAATAACAATCTGAGCCCGTCAGTGGCAAAAACAAGCACTTTTAGTGGTTTGCCCCTTAGGATTACATTGCAGCATTCTCCTTCAATACTGGCATTTGAAGAATTGTTATCCCCATTAGTCACTTTGACACAAAAACATGGGGAAATCGGGTCCAAGTTGAAAAATACCAAAGTTACACTTTAATGATGATGGGAAAAATGAGGTTACAATGCCTTTGTACCAAATTGGTCTACATTCAAAAGTGTTTTGGTGTTGTTGTTGTTGACAAGGAAGAGTTGCTCTACATCCGTCATCCAGAGAAAGCTTTAAAGTGCGGAGGCACATTTCACTTGGCCCACATGACTTCAGTTCCCTCTCTGTGCCCCCTCCCCTCCAGAGCTTCTGTCCCCTCTGAGCCTTGGCTAAGTAAGGTTAGGGGTTCATATTGGCCTTCCCACAGTGAGCAGCTTTTAACCTCCTGCCAGCTTCATCAATCTCAGGCAGGCGTGATCGCTGCTGAAAGGGGCGGGGATTAGGAACAGCCTGCCGTCTGTAAATCAGGCGCGCTTGAAAGGGGGGGCCCTCCCGCGTGCATCACATGGGTCCGGTAGGCACCATACCCCATGAATGTAGACATCATCACTTGCAGCAGTTAAACCCCAAGAGCGGACCTCCCTCAACCAGATGGCCGAGCTGGTTCTCAATAAATGTTTAACGACGGGAGAACAAATTAAATCAGGAGGCAAATGCCCGAGCACAGTTTGAACAATGTAATCCATCTAAGGTGGTGTTCGGTTCGTAAAGGATTTTGGCCGGCACAATAGGACAATGAGAAAACAACGTCTTGTGGGGATTGTAACCCCCCTCACTCCCTCTCCACAAGCCAATTAGCACAAAGCCCTTACCTTTTGATTTGAATCTGTTGTTCAGTTACATAAATCACCATGTCTGGGAAAAAACGAAACAAAAGGAAAGCCTAAGGCATCTTCTATCTTTTCGTAATGACTTATAACTCTGAGACACCAATCTTCAGTTGGAAACAAAGTCAATAGGCCTGAATTGTGATTGAGCGGAGTGGGTTTCTATAATGTACAGCACACTCAAGAGTCTCTGGCCTTGTCGGTGGGTGGGGCAGGGGTCACAATGGTTCAGCGGGCCGGCATTGAGTCACAGATAGAGTTAATACCATTAACATGAGGCATGGTTGGAAAGTTCAGAGTGCACGTTCATCTGGAAACAGATCTGCACGGAATGAATGGAATCGACTCTCTTGTCCTATGATCAATTATTTAATTACATCCCTTGAACCGGAGTTTGGCTCCATTGTTTCCTCTTGAATTTGTTAAAGGAGAGATGAAACCCTTGAGATCACATACCCGGTTCACCGATTGAACAATTTACGCACAAAGGATTTTCAACTTATTTGGAAGTGTTGTGAAAGATATGTAGATGGATAAAAACAATGTATTTATATTCTTCTTTTGCTAACATGAGATATTTGCACAGCTAACCGCCACATTTAGCGTTGCGGAAATTAGTTAGCTTGGGTGTCAGTTGCAACATCTCGAGAGTGTGTTGCTGAGACGGAGAAAGGTGTCGAACAAAGTGAATTTTCTCTTGATTTGCGCTGTAACCTGCATTTCAAGGGGACTTTAAGGCAGCAAGTAAAGAAGCCACAGTTGGATTCAAGCCTTATTGTGAACAGTGTGCTCTTCTCTAGACATTACAGAGCTGGTTGAGCGCACATTAGCTATTGTACATGTCTTGGTTACTGCTGCTTAAATGCACACACGCCTCAAAGCCCTATCAACACTCATGCAGTAATTGCAGCTGCTGGACTTGCAGGTTAAACCGCTCTTGTTTTACATGAACACTTCCTACAGACCAGCAGTTTTATGATTCCTCTAAAGATCTAATATTTTTGCCTTTACTTCTCTTTGTGTTATTATGGTGTTTGCTAGCTGTTCAGCTAATTACTCCAGCGTGACCCATCGAGCCGGATCCCCCAGCCAACACGAGTCAGACTAATGAACTGACACCCCAGAGCGTAGAGCCCTGCTGCACACACTGAAGTACCCATACATCGCTCTGCACTCCGGACCAATCATGTGCTAATCATAGTCCAGACTCCGGTCTGTTAGCTGGAGAATGGTCCAGTGCTCTGTTCCTCCGCAGCCTGTCAGTGTGTGAGTGCAGACTGCTTACTCTCACTGACTGTTAAATACGTGAGACATTTATGCCTCGCACCCCTCAGGCAGCAACATTTGCTGCAATAATAGGCAAATGTGTAGCCGCATTGTTAATCTCTTTGAGTCATTGTTATCGGAAACATGCAGGCACGGAGGAAAACAGCGGCTGAGTAGCATCCTAACTTTTGATGGTGATTGTGATTTGAATCTTGGCTTGGTCCCCCCCCCCCACACTAATGCTGAACATCTGCCATGCATTAATAAATCCACAGGCCCCTTCGTTTGTTTATATATTTCCATTGTCGCACGAGAAATAAATACACCCTCTGCTACACACTTCCACCGACATCAAACTACAAAACAAGTCTCAAGGGGAAGGGGAAGGTGGGAGGCCTTTATGTGAAGATTTCTTTGTCGCAGCAAAATTTGAACCGGCGCAGAACAAGAGTTGATGCAAATGAAAATGTACGGCGCGCCTGGTTATGCCTGGCTGAGCAGAGAGCAGTCGGGCTCCCCAGTCACGGGGGATTTGTTGTGTTTGGGGTTTGCCTTTTTTTCCGTCTGCCAGCGCGTGAGTGGATTCATGGGGCCTCCTCCGTCTGTGCTTCCCTCACAGGTACATCATCTTCGGCGCGCCAGGGAAATGCACTGAGGACCGAGTAGGAGAGAGAGCACTCGTTTCTTGAGGACGTCCGAGATTCAAGGAGAGACCATGCAGAGGAACCCTGGATCGGTGGCCGTGCTGGGCTTGATCGCCTGCGTTTGTGCCTTTTATACGACTGCAGCCGTCGACATCCCACTGGAGGGTGAGTGCCATCGTGGGTTATGAAGGAGGGTTCACGTTTGTTTCAATATCTGCTAACAGGGCAGTTCACTCAAATTACAAAAAAAATGTTTTGCAGTTTTTATAGCGACTGCTTTCTATCAAAGAAATAGGGGACATTGTTCCTGCAAAGACAATTTTGCTGTAGAGTTTTTGTTGACACCAAAAAGAAAAATTCCATTCAGATAGTACAGAAGTCTATGAGAAAATGCCCCGACTTCTCTCTTGATTTATTCCCTCAGTAAACATTGAAAACATGAGTTTAAGGTCTCAATCTCTAGTTTAAAGTCTTCTTCAATACAGCATGATGTTCATGTAGTAGATTATGGTCTCATTTAAAATAAAATAGATGATAAAGCAGAGTATGTTTTTGGGCGGGGCTGCCTTGTGATTGACAGGTCGCTACCATGGCGTTTGTCTGGTCCTAGAGTTTCCTGTGATTTCGACTTAGATCTTAAACCCTTTCACAGTGTGTCCAAAACGGCAGTCTACCAACCAGTGGGTGACGTCTACACTACAACCACTTCTTACATACAGTCAAAGGTTTCAACCCTCATGCAATGCATGCTGGGAAGTCTGCTAATATGCTGACATTTGTTTAGAAACTTAATTCGATGCGTTTAATGAACACTCAGCGGCACATTCATTCAAATCATAATCTCAAGTCTTGATGAACACATCTTAGTTCTGAAATGACTCTCAAAAAGTCCATTTATATTAGGTTAATAATAAAAGATGAGTTGTTTTCCATTCAGTTGCTGTTTGAAGTTTTACAGTGAAACAATTCAGCATGAATCGACTGAATTGTGACACGGACAGACACTGACTTTTCAAACGCACGTTAAAAGCTACTTCAAGACGCCGCAGCAGAGGATGTAAAGGACAGGAGTCTCACAAAGGGAGTCTTGGAATTCCTAATGTTCATCTAAAGAGGACTTGTCCTCGGTTTATCTTGAAGTGCTTTTAACGGGATAAGAGGTGTCGAATAATTTAGCAGATGAATCGCACTACAGAGGACGGTTACAATCATTAAGCGTTCTGTGAATGGAATATATTTAGAGCTACTCTCTGCTTTGAGTCACTGTTTTGTGTGTGTGTGTGTGTGTGTGTGTGTGTCTTTTGTGTTGGAGCCACAGTTTCCTTGGAAACACATATCAAACCTCTCCCTCTGAATTATTCAGAAATATCTCCTAAGGGGCTGATAAAGAACAGTTCAAACAGGTTTTCACAAAAGGTAAAAGTATTTTGTTGATGTCAGAGTAGCGTTTTAATTCAGCCCTGTTTTTTTGCACTACTCATGTGTGTGTTTAAAAGGGTTTATGTAGAGAATGCCTGTGACATGAAGAGATTATTTGCAAACCGCTGACTGTTTTTGTTTTGTTTATTCCCCCCCCCCCCCCCCTCTCCTGCTGCCATGGATTTTGTAGTTTTAGCTCATATAAACAGTAAGTTCGCTCTGCCGCACCGTAGCTGGTATTAGTGACATCCTCTGCTCTCGTCTGTTAATCTCCTCGGCTCGTCGTCGAGCACAGCGGCGGTTCTGTTCACAGCCATATGTGTTGGATCTCATCCTCCTGTGTCATCAGTCATGACTCCGTACTAGTTGGCATTCTAGCTTGTGTGACTCATGGCATGTCCTCATCTTACCTTCACACGTGGTGTCACGGTACTATTCAAACTCATCGTGTTGTGTTTGTTCCCTGCTTCGCTCATGTCACAACTCAAGAACAAACGAGTTCTATGCCAAAATAGAACAAATCTAACAAAACGGCCGATTCGTTTAAAAGGCAAACCGTAAACTCTGTATGTAGAGACATAGAGAGATATAATCATCGACATCATCACAGTGGTTCCCAAACTCATGGTTTTTCCTGAATGGAGGAATTTTTTTGTCACTCCTTCCAAAAGGGGTTTTAGCCAGCGCCAAAGAAAAATCACCATATCAAACAACTGTTGAACAAGCACAACATCAATTTAAATACGACATCTTTTGACTTCTTGCAGTCTACTCCCCTCTCGTCCACAAGCAGCTTTGGCTGGATAAGCCAGCTAAGCTGCATTGTTTCGACTGGGCCTGAAGCTGTGGAGCTATAGTGCTAACGGGATCACAGCGTTACCGACCAGAGTCGGGCTGTTTAGCCGGCTCCCCAACTGGCATCTTCACGTAGCTGGTGGAACAGAAGTTAGCGGCATCCACCTTTAACGTTGGTTTGTAGTCCGTAGGTTTGGGTTTCATTTACTCAGGCATGGTCAGAGATAACAGCAAAATGCATAGACTTCTGTCAAATAAGGTACCACGGACTCATTGCCTTTATTGTACGGGGGTCGATCATGCTTACCGTGCTGCGTAGTCACCCCCCAAAAGGCCCATTCTGAGCCAGGGAAAGGCCCTAAACCTGGGGGTCAAGACCACCCAAGGGGCCCCAAGAAGAAGCCAAGTGATCACCAGATGATTAAAGGGCTTAGAAAGAAAGAACGAAACAATTCTGACAACATTCTGTACTTTTCTTTCATTATTGTTTATTTCTTATGAAATTCTGGACACTTTTACGATATCAAGCTTCTTAAAAGTAAAAGTTACGTTCAGATTGATTTCACAAATGTGTCACCATTAAGGCTAAATAACCTGCGGTGAAGGGGGTCACAAGCCAAAGCGGTTGGGAACCACTGCCCGTAGTGTCACACTGATCATGATACTTCTGAAAAGAGCGCTGCATTTCAGGCCCGTGTTGTGTCTCTCACATTCCCGTGCTCTTGTTTGTGTTTGTCGCCCAGTTGAGCAGCTGCCCACCATCACAGAGCAGTCGGCCAGCTCTCTCATCGCCTTCCCGTTTGACGAGAGCTTCCCCATGACGTGTGAAGCCAAAGGGAACCCCGAGCCAGAGTGAGTACCGAAGCCTCGCGTCTCTCCGGATGGGAAGAGGGAGAGCACGGAGAGCCAGACACACACCCGTCACAAACAAACAACAACAACAACAGTTTGCCACCAACATGTTGCATTTGGTTTAGATCGTTTGGAAAATGAGCCGGCTTAGCTGAAGGACTTGACCTTTCAATACCGGCTTTCTTCATGTAGATTCAGATGGACGAAGAATGGCCAGGAATTCGACCCCTCTCTGGACCCCCGGCTGATGAAAGAGGAGAATTCTGGGACCTTTGTGATACCCAATAATGGGAACCTTACAGAGTACCAGGGAACCTATCGCTGTTACGCCTCAAACAAACTGGGGACCGCCATATCGAAGGAGATTGAGTTCATTGTGCCCCGTGAGTAACATACATCTGTGTGAGTGTGTGTGTGTGTGCGGTGCTCTGTTACAGTGCTTTCAAATTGATTCAGGGCCAGCAGTCGTGTGTAATGACTGCACCTCTCCATTGTGAGCCTCTCAATGTATTGTACGGGGCAGAAAGTCATTGAAGCTCCCCGAGCTCTCCACCCACCGCAGCATCTCATCTATAGCACTGCATTGGATTTAAAAAAAACAAAAGCAGGAAGTGTGATTCAGCCTCTCCATCATTTACTTTTGCTACATCTTTTTTTTTTCAGTACATACACTCTGCTCCGTGGGGGACTACGTTTGTCTGGGCTTCAGTCGCTCAGCAGCAGTGACAAGACACACACAATAGTAGCAGTGATGTCTGTTTTGTTTCTGCAGGCCAACAAGTGAAAAAGAAAAATCCCAGAGTGAATGACTGAATGATACAAAGCCTCCCACTAAATCCCAGAATGATATCACTGCCATCTCCTGGAGTAGAGGAGAACTGCATCCTATATTTGATTCATTCATGTCTGTTCTTTTTTTTCTTCTTCTAGATGTTCCGAAGTTTCCTAAAGAAACACTTGACCCTTTGGTGGTGGAGGAAGGCCAGGCTTTTGTTTTACAGTGTGATCCACCTCAAGGAATACCTCCGCTCCAGATCTACTGGATGACTATCAGTAAGTCATGTTTATGAGTCAAATCAACAGGGCAATTTAGTTCATAATAGAAATGTATTTTTGTAATAGTACGCCCTTTCATTCCCACCCAGGACATGCTCTAGGTTTATTTAGACAGCAAAATATCTCCTCACATTCTCAACTTTCATTTTCATTTGCACCCACATAAGACTGCATGAAATCCAGATAATGAAAGAATAAGAAATGTGGAGGAAAAAGACAAAAAAATGAAAGTAATTTACAGAAATTCAACAATGGCAACAAGAAGCACACAAAATGAGCAGGAATAACTCACCAATCAGTTGCCAACACACACACACACACACAAGTATACACAACAAATACACTTGAAATAATGAATGAAATGTGATTAAAATTTTATTCCTTACCTTTTCAAAGGACGAATAACAGTTGATATCTCTTGAATGTAACTATTGTTTATGTGGCATCTTAATCTAAAAATCAACTAGTAGTGGAAGTTGCAAAACACTCAAGCAAATAAATATGTAAATATTGTGCCACAGTACAGTGCTTGAGTAGAAAATAGAGTTCAGTTGTGTCTTCTGGCTGATAAACGCTCCAGGATGTAAGACCTGCCTCCTTCTGTGCTCCAGACCTCCAGCACATCGAGCAGGACGAGCGGGTGTCCATGGGCCTGAACGGAGACCTCTACTTCTCTCACGCCGTGGAGAAGGACAGCAGGAGGGACTACTGCTGCTTCGCCGCCTTCCCGAGAATACGCACCATTGTTCAGAAGACCGCCATGTCCGTCGTTGTGAAGACGAGTAGGTGTCACACTTCAGCGTCTCCGTCTCTACACTCCCAGTGGCCGATTTCCCCTGGAGTTTATTTTCAGAGCGCCGATCGCTTCCGACGGGCTCAGCGATGCGTCCGTGTTCATAGCTGCACTTCAAAAGCCATCAAAGTGTCACGCCGCCTCGTTTACGTGCATCTCCTTGATTTGATGTTGTGGTTTTGATCTCGGTGATGTGTCTCATTGATCCACGCTGTCCTCATGTTCATTGTCTTTTTTATGTGTCATCCACCTCCATTTCAGAAAACAGTGGCATGAGTCCTGAAACTGGTAAGTTTCAAGTTCTTAGAGTAAAACACACCTCATCTGTAAACAGCTGCATGCACGAGGCAGATGTGTGCGTTCAAATGTATAGAATTTAAAAGTGTAGCTTTCTGTTTTACCGCCTAATTCTCTGCTATGCTTCCTCAGCTAATGCAATCCTTGAGAGAAGACCCCTATTTCTGACGCCCTCTGGTGCCAGATCAGAGACACGGCTGGTCAAAGGAGAGGACCTGAAATGGGAATGTATTGCTGAGGGATTGTAAGTAGCGCTTCCCTTTTAACATCCTACGCATTTTAGTATTATTTGTCCAACATTTTTGCTCTTTCGCCACACGTTGTATATGTCATTTTCTGTGTCACGTGTAGTCAATACCTCGATCCCTCTTTGCCCCCTTTCTCTTAGTCCAACTCCACAGGTTGAGTGGGTGAAGATGGGTCATCCGCTCCCAGTCAAAGCCAAACTGGAGAATCACGGGAAACTGCTGATTGTGCCGAGAGTCGACCAGGAAGACGGCGGGAAGTACATGTGCAAGGCGAAGAACGCGCTGGGAGATGCCATCCATTACTTCACGCTGATGGTGGAAGGTAACGACAGACGTCACAGCGGTGTTGTCACGCCGGACGTATTTCAAATCAATTCAGCAGTCAAATCATTTGAATAATAGACTGATGATAGACCTGCACTTTGTTTGAAGAAGCCTTAATATATTGATTCAGTTCTCAGATACTTTACTGAAGTAAAAGTATGAATATGACAATGTAAAAATGATAAGTAAAGTATAAGTAAAAGTCCTGCACTCAGATGCTTACAAGAGTAAAAGTACAGCAGTATTATCAGCTACCCCTACTTGAGGAAACAATGTAAAAGTACTCCTTACGTTAAAAAATGGCCTTTGGGACCAATATATTATTAAATTACATTTTTATACTGATGCAATGGTCCAATGTTTCCCAACCTAAGGATCAGGTCCCACCAAAGGGTCACATGATGAGTCTGAGGGGTCATGTCATGAATAATAAAGCAGGAAAAAAGAAGAAAAGGCAAAGTTCTGATACAACCATGTAGAATATGCAAAATACTCAAGCACTGTACTGATGAATGATTTTGAGGTACTTGTACTTGAGTAAATGTTCTCTCTGCTGATAGGTGTATATGCAAATGCACTCTTATGAACAGAATCGGTTCAAGGTCTCCGGTGAGACAGTAGGCAGCTGAAGGGCCTCTCGTGTCTGCCGGGGGCCAGACCCCTGAATGCAGCATTTACAGCAGCGGGACTCTCATACTCGTATATCGGCCAACCGTTCCCGTGATTGTGTCCGCTCTCTGTGAGCGCTAAGTGTCTCTCTCACGATGGCACCGATCGGTTTGCTAATGCCACGCTGATTGTGTGTTCCCAGAGCCCCCGGAGTGGGTGGCTGAGCCCGAGAGTCAGCTCAGTATGATCGGCTCCGACGTGCTCATCAAGTGCTCCGCCAGTGGGACCCCTCAGCCGACGATAACGTGGAGGGTGAACGGCGAACCTCTGCAGGGTGAGTCCCACGACACAACCTCCTCACTATTTCAAACCTTTCTACTGAGTCAGTCCCGATGACTCCGGGATTTAAAATTTGTTTTGTTGCTTTCATTTTTTTCAAATACAACTTATCACATAACTTATAACACGAGAGAGAGAGTGTGTTTAAAAGTGCTTGGTAGACCTGGCTGGTTGGACTTAAATATGGTTCTGACTTTAGAGGTTGTTGGAGAAATTAAAGGCGAGATCCAAATTGTCCAGACTTTAATGTACATACTTGGGCTGGGTGATTAATCTGTGTTTGTTGTGGCTATTTATTGATTATGAAGAGAAGATAATCGAGACAAAAGGATTATTGTGCCGCATTCAATTTCGCAACCATGCTCTCGTTTTGTCTGGTGTTATAAATCCTTAATGCCCATTAATACATTTCATAATGACCCCAAAACATTTGTCAACAAGTGGGGTCTGTGTGCAGTCTGTCCTGGGGGGATTTAACTTGGTGCTCGATGGGGGGGAGGGACAGGCCCCCTGAAACAGGGACCCCGTCTTATTATCGGGCTTCGTGGGTGTGACTTTTCCGTGTCATCACCGTTCATATCTCGACAACCAATGCGTTTATGATTTATTTTTACAGAAGCACAAAGCTCTTCATGGACACAGCGTCTTCATTTGTGCTGATGTTTACAGAGTCAATAAATGAATCCTGTTAAATAATAGCAATTAAGATATTTTTGCCCGAATGGAGGAGCCCTAGTGCATACAGAGTTGTGGCATGAATAGTGATGATCTCAAACTATCTGTGTTTTGTTTTTTTTAACAGGGGCCCCTGCAGCCAACAGGAAGGCGTTCGATGACACCATAGTTTTGCACAACGCCAAAGCGTCTGACAGCGCCGTCTATCAGTGCGAGGCCTCCAACAAGCACGGGACCCTTCTGTCGAACGCAAACATCATGATAATGAGTAAGTGCTTCTTGGTTCCGCGAGCCGTCGCCACTTTCACTTTCACTTTCACCGTCAAAAACAGGATCCAAAGATTCCGTTTGCGAGCAAGTGTCAGATTTCGCAGTGAGTCATCGGGAGAGACGCTGCTGACTGATGTGTCAAGCCGGAGAGCCGGCGCTGATGCTGGCACGTGCCCATAAAGCAGCGAGGAGCCCAGAAAAAAGGAGGGCTGTCTACGAGCTGTAACTCCGTCATTCGGGGCCCTAGCGGATCTCCCTGTGCAGCAACAAGCCTCAGCTCCCTGCCATTTATATGCTAACAAGTCCCCCTCCCTCCTCAATTCCATACTGATTCCAGGGCCATAAGACAAACATGTGCTGCTTTACAAGTGCAGATAAAAAAGAAAAGAAAGAAAGTTGCGGAGTTTGTTCTCGGTGACACAGGAGTTAATAAAGCTGGACAGTTGCTGAATGCTAAGTCCCAGCGGCTGCCTTTGTAAACAATTAGGAGAGACAGAGCATTTTAATAGGAGGCTTTGGCTACAACTGATAAGGTGCACGAGCCCGGCTTACTTAGTATTCCATTGTTTTCGTCTTTGATTTTTTTGCATTCACACATTGCAGACAACATGACAGCTGACTCGTTTTTTGGACACAAGGGAGCCGACAGTTAACAGAACTGTCCCCTCATTTAACCCGTGAGGATCTGCCTCCTTTCCTTCCTGTTTTCGTCCGGTTTTAAGACTGCTCCACTGTGCTTTCAGATTTTTTTTCTGAAAGTAGCACAGTAGTTAAGGGCCACGACTCGGTTCTTTCACGGTGGATTATCCACATCAGGGCATCCTCTGCTTTTCCAACAACCTCAGATTGATGATCAGATTCTGCCTCTCACAGATCTGGCCCCCATGATTCTGACCAAGGATGGGGAGGACTACTCTGCGGTGGAGGGGAAGGGAGTGATGATGCACTGCTCGGTCTTCAGCTCTCCTCCTTCTACCGTCACTTGGTAAGTGTGCAGTTTGCTCCTGCCTCCCATACACCAGCAGAGAGCAGTAGATCTCAACCGCTGGATGCACACAGTCCCTCTGTACACACACACACACACACACACAGCGTGTTTGTCTATTGGTGACCTGCTGTTTCTAAGTAACCCTGTCACTTCACACTTGTTCTGTTCTACAACTTTCACAGTGTGTGTGTCTCTCCAGTCAGACTCCCACTGTGTTCTTATTTCATTTGGAATCAAAAGCACTTTAATTGGACTTTCTCCTGAACATCCCCCAGGAGCAGAGACGACTCCCCTGAATCCGTGGAGGGGCCGAGGTTTGCCGTTCACGACAACGGGTCGCTGGAGATCTACAGCGCCGTGAAAGACGACGCGGGACAGTACACGTGTTTAGCCAAAAACACAGAGGGACCGGCCGCCCTCAACGCCATGCTCTACGTGAAAGGTAAACAGCTCTTCTTTGTTTTTTGTATTATTCCTGTAAAAAGTGTTGGCAGTGGCTCACAGTCCTTGAAATGTGACTAATGCGGTTGCGCCTATGGAAGATCCCACCAGAATAGTGGTGGCCCAGGAGGACCTGCAGATCTTAATAGGTACCGCGGCACAGCTCTCATGCCTCGCAGAGTACGACAAGTCCTTCAGCAACGACTTTGAGCTCCTGTGGGAGAAAGACGATCTGGCGATAGGCCTCAACCACACTGAGAATTCAAGGTAGGATGCTGCATTTTATTTTTTATCTTTTTCTACAGCATTTCAGACTTAATCCCAGCTGGATTTTTACTCTCCAGCTTTGTCAATCAATATTGCGTCCTCCATCCTTTCTGTCCACAGATACTTTGTGGAGGACGGTATCCTCCAGATCATCAACGTGAGCCACAGGGACCAGGGCGTGTACACGTGCGTGGCGAGAACCCCGGTGGACCGAGACGCGGCCTCGATGCTGCTCATGGTGCTAGGTGAGCCAACAAATAATCAACAATACTTCTGCTCCGGGGCCTAAAGGATCAGGGACCCCTGGCTCTACAGTTATGTATGAGGCGTTCATAAAGGGATCAATATGTCAGGGAGCCGGAGCAGAGCATGGACACGCAGGCACACGGCTTTATTGGCTCACTGCTGTGTCTGACAATCGGCTCTTTTTGAAGAGATATATGCAACGTGTTAGAGTTTAAAAGAATTATGCAGCGATGCAGCTCGTTCCACATCTTCTGGCTCTCGGGGTTGATTTGATTGAACATTTGTTCCCGTTGGCCTTTTTTTTTTTTGCCGCAGAGATTGATGTGTCTGTGATTTTCAAAAAGTCATGTTGTTGTGATGGTTTTTCAGACGTCCCCGATGCACCCGAGTACTTGGTACTGTCTGAACACAAGAGCAAAAGTGTGAAACTGAAATGGATCCCTGGGGACGATCACAACAGCTCCACCACAGGTAAATGAAAATTGAGCATCTGTGTGTGCAGGTGTCAGTACATACAGCATGGTACACACTGAATCAGTGCTTCACTGAATATGTGACGTTTTGGGGTTAATAGATTTCTTTGATACCATCTTGTACAATATGAGTCTATTATTGATTCATCCGAGCATGGATTATGATAAGCCTCCCTTAGGGATACACAAGCCCAGAGCAGGGTTTGAGGATTTTTTTTTGGGGGGGGGTTCTGCACAGCTGGTGGTTAGATAAGCAATCCTTTCGGCAAGATCCGTGGCAGCGAGGGGCCGCGCTGATTGTCTTTCTGCCTGTCAACAGAGTTTATCATCGAGTACGAGGAGAGCCAGTGGGAGCCGGGGAACTGGAAGGAGCTGCTCCGCGTACCGGGCAACCACAACCAGGCCGTGCCCAAACTCCACGGCCACGTGGACTACCGCTTCCGTGTGTCCGCCCTCAACGCTGTGGGGAGGGGCTCTCCCAGCGAGCCCACGGAGAGATACAAACCGCCGCCGGCAGGTGAGAGGCGTTGGTCCTTTTTCATTGTTTGTCGTGCTTCTTGATCAGGTCCTCCAGGCCACTTAAGCTGCCGCTCCGCGGACTCTGAAAGACTCAGACCCACCACATAATTGATTCCGCTCGTGGAAAAAAAACAAAAAACACACGCTCTCTTGTGTGCCCACTTCATCGGAGATTTCTTCCACTAACAAAAGCGACAAAATCTATATTTCTTCTTTTCTGTAGCCCCTGACAAGAACCCAGAAAATATCAAAATCGAAGGTCATTTGCCACATGAAATGGATATCAACTGGGAGGTAAGAAGGAGAGTTTGGTCTTTTATTATCCTCTTACCGCACACTCTCTAATGTCAGCTACCTTTGTACGGTGAGTTATTCACATCTGCTACACCGTTGGCAAGTCAAAGAACAGAGAGGAAGTTTTATCAATGCTTCATAGGCAATTAGCAATAGGAACCTAATTTAATAGAAACGGCCCACTTCTGATATTTCATTCTGTGGGTTCAGATCTTGAGAAAAGCCATATTCCAGGATCACTCTGAATGCATTCACAGTGAAAGCTGCCCCTTTTCTTTGATTAGAAAAGAGAAAGGAGAGCTGTGAAAATTATCTTTTTTCTTCTTTTAAAACACATACGGTAATATATTCAGCTTTTATTGTAAAAGATGAATCTCTCCCTCACACATTATCTGGTTGCCCTGTCATCGCAGCGTATAGTCCCACGGATCCTGGATTCATGAGCTCTCCCACTGTTAATGATTTGCTTTTGCGGATAATGGTCTCTCATTCTATTTCTCACGGTCTGACTTCTGTGAGCAGATAAATCTTTTCATCTGCGACGTCTTAGCAAGCCCCGTATCAAAGAAAAGCCATGCTGCTGCTAGACCAGGTCAGTTGTTCCGTTATTTGATTGGCAGGATAAAACACTGCCAGTGTTCCAAGCAGAGTTCACTGGGTTGTCATTGTAATCCCACAGAGGCAGTGACATTGTGCGCTGAAAAGCAACTGCGAATGTCTCTATGGATGCCCTTCACACCTTTTTCATTTGTGCTTTCTTTTCCTCCCATTATTCAGCCCTTGCTGCCCATTGAGCACAATGGCCCCGGTTTGGAGTACAAGGTGAGTTACAGGAGACAGGCCGTGGAGGAGGACTGGAGGGAGCACATGGTGAAGAGACACTCGTTTGTGGTGAAGAACACTCCAACCTTTGTGCCCTACGAGATCAAGATCCAAGCCAGGAACCACCAGGGCTGGGGCCCCGAGCCCAGGATAGTGACAGGATACTCAGGGGAGGACTGTGAGTAGTGGTCTTTGTTGACCTTATCTGATTGTTACGGAAGCCCTGAGAGGCAAGGGAGAAAAACAAGTCTCGCCTAAATTGTTCTTCTTCTTCTCTGATTATTACTTCTGAACAGGTGAAAAGTGTTTTTTGAGTATTACAACAAACACTTGAGAAATGATCCTGACAACAACAAACACACACACACACCTGCCAAAACCTCTTTTTTCACCTGGAAATGTTTCCCAACCTGTTTCACAGACGAAAAAAAGTTACACACACAATTTAGATCAGACTTATACTGTAGTTTCCTTGTGGCTATTTTCAGTGGAAACATTTTGCAGATGGTGGTGGATAAAACCAGGTGATGAATGTGTCTGCAGTTGGTTTCTGGGTATTGAAGTTTACAAACTTTCCACCCCCCCATTGCTACCATTTGTAGCCAGTGTAGCTTTATGATCTTAAGGAGAAAACATGTCACTCCCTTTCTGCTGAACTCGGGTGGACTTTCAGAAATGATTTACTGATAAGTTTTGAAATGTTTTAGATTTAGAGAGTCTCGCGGTCGTTAACCGTAAGTTTCTCAAGAGAGAAGCAGCACGTGCAGAAGTTTACTGTGTTTCCTGTTGTTCAGCTTTCTTCTGGACTTGCCCCCAGGATCTAACCTCAGGTCGTGACTCTTCTCTTCGTTGTGTCCTCTCTTAAATGTGGTGCTATTAAATGCAGCGTTTACACCGTTTAGCTTAAAGGTTACGTTAGCTTGTGTGACTGTAGGTAGAGCCCACCGTTAGCAAACCCTAATAGCTGGTCACTAAATCTAGGCAGTTGTATAGTGATAGTAATGAAATCATAGCTGGCTATCTTTCCTTGACTAAACGTCCAGCTTTCTCCAGATTCTAATGTGTGTTTGTCTCTGCAGTTCCATCTGCTGCACCCGACGTAGCCGTGGAGGTGATGAACAGCTCAGTGGTCAAGGTTAACTGGACGCGTGTACACAAGGACAAGTTACACGGACATCTGGGAGGCTACCGGGTAATACCTCAAAAGCAGACCTGTGCTGCACCCGACCTTGCTCTAAACGTCTGCTCATCTCACCCCGCTCCGTCTCTCGTTAACTCATTCAGCATTCTCTCACGCATATATACGTGGTTCGACGTCTTGCCGCTGAGGATGACTGTGCGTCTTCCTTCAGGTAAACTGGTGGCGTCTGCGCAGTCTGGCGGACTCCAAGAAAAGCCACGGAGACAAGCGCGCGCTGGTGTTCCCCGGGGACCGCAGCCACGGCACGGTGCCGGGACTGACGCCCTTCTCCGAGTACAGCCTCATCGTCATGACCTTCAACGGGCGGGGCAACGGCCCCGGCAGCCACCCCCTCAACTTCAAAACCCCAGAGGGAGGTAGGATTGTGGAATAACAGCATGGAGTGTATTGATTCACAACTACTGAGGGGGAAAAGTCAAATAATAGCGGGTAGCAGAATTTCGACTGCTCACTGTGTCCATTGCCTTCTTTGCCCCCCCCCCCCGCAGTCCCGGAGAAAAATCCTGTTTTCAGGGTCACGGATGTACAGAAGCACACCGTCTCACTGCTCTGGGCCCCGCCATTGGAGCCTAATGGAATTCTCACCGGGTACCTCCTCGAGTATCAGCTCAGTACGTATCCCTCCGCCTCATGCTTAACTAACTCAGATAGAATGGCCATGCCCCCTCGGAATGTATTGCTTTTCCACTTGTGTTTAACAGCGCTCACATCCCTGTGTTCCTCTTCCTCTTCTGCTTGTATCCTCTGAAGAAAAGAGACACGCAGGCCGTGTGTTTCAATTTATACACAGTGACTGCGTAGACTTTAATAGCATCGCTGTTTGAAATGCTTCTACCTCTGTGTTGTACAGGCGAGTATTTACAGTACAGGAGTGTGTTGCTGCAGGACAGGAGCAGGATCATTGTGATTGTCTAACCCATGATCCTCAACAAGGCGAGGAAAATCCCTACCCCGCTCTAATAGGGCCGGGGTCACGGTGGGATCAGGCTGTGTGTGTGTGTGTGTGTGTGTGTGTGTGTGTATAGGAGACATGTCAGGGTGATGCCTGCTGGCCTGCGCGTCATGATCAGGGCTCAGCCAGTGCTGACCAAGGCCACCGTGTCGTAGTCTGTTAAGGTCTGCAGTCACCGTCGGGCTGGATACCGTCACTGAGCGCATTCCCGCCCCTCAAACAAAAGTCACAACGAAGCCAGTGACTAACTTCCAACGTCGTCTTTAGCGCGGCATCTCCACGGCTAATTGAGTTTGATTGGCCGCACAAGAGGGGCACAAGCACCACGCGGTATTTTCAGGAGAGGACGTTTTCATTGTACCACAGCAGTAAAGCTGATGGGCTGTCTGAAGTGTGACTTTTCTCTTTCTTTTTTTTTTTTTTTTTAAGTCCCCTTGAGGGAAGTCATGTGCGAAAAATTGTAAAGGATAATGCAGCCAGCTGTCGGCGCATCGTCAGCGACACAAATGGAATCTGGAGCTGCAGCACAACTGCTTGTGTGTGTGTGTGTGTGTGTGGGGGGGGGGCTACGTCCGATCCTCACGTCTCACAGGTTTTCACAGGAAGGCCTGTTGTAACACCGTTTAACACACCGAGCACGGCGGGACAACCGGGCGTTTGAGCCGTTAAACTAACCCGCTTTGAAGTGGCACATTTTCTGTCCTGAAACCTTTTGATCACGGTGTCAACTTAATAGTTGGAATTAAGTTGGTCAAAGTGGCAATCTTTAAGATTATAGTCCTGGTACTCTGTACTCCATTGTTTTCACTCAGAGTTTAGCACTCTGGAGTCTTTTTGTTGATACACGCACATCAGGGTTTTCAGAGCTGTGATCCTCCTTCGATGATAGTGACTAGGATTATTACTTTAAATTAGAATCAAGTGCTAATTAGGGCGACACAAAACATTGTTGTTTTGATACAGATGTTTCCCTCTACTAGTACACTTTATAGCAATGATAACAGCTGTTCACTGAACTCATACAGAAAGTTTATATTATTTTCTACATCCCTGAATACATTCTGAATGTATCTCACAGATAGAGTGGGTGGTTCGGTCACAGTGCCTTAATAATCCACTGTGAAGCCTGAAGCAGAGCCGGGCCAGTACAGACTACACCAGCAGCAGCCTGCCTCTCTGGAAGCTATAGACGCACCACTTGACAAACACAAGTGTGTCACGGAGGTGAAGACGAGTGCTCTCACTCCATCCATTCTGTCGCTTCGTTGGCTCGGAGCGCTTTACTGCGTTATTCTTTGCTGCGTTATTCTTTGCTGCGTGGCAGAGTAGTTTCAGTTTAACTTTAATATGTCCATACGTTGCGATGAAATGTGTTGGATGAGAGAACGGGTCCGCTCGGCTGTAAAAAGTCGTAATAACAGCATGATTAAAAGAAATGTAGGATAAGATGGGATGGCATCAAATACACTATAGATCAAATCAAAAAAAGCACTTTATACACATATGAAAAAGTGAATTGTGTGTCAATTTCTTTTGCCACACTGTTCCACATTAGAGTTGCCGCGGATAAACTCATCAAGAGTGGGCCGGGTGAAGTTGGCACTCCGGATCTACGCGAGTGGGAGTTAGATTCAATTCATTCCATTTTTCTTTCCCGTTGAGCTAAACTCTTAACCGTGGGGTCATTGTCAGATTTCAGTCTTGGGTCCGTCTCACAATACACACGGCCAACGATATTTGGCCCAAGGGGTGTGGGGGGGGGGGGGGCTGAGGAATATTTGGAGCTGTTGTTTGTCTGGAGTCAGTGGAAGAGCCAAAGTCTGCAGCCTTCAGCCTGTTCACTCTATACGACCGCGTGTGCCGGCGGTCAGGCCTGAGTGCTTCCGGATTAGTGAGAAAGTATCCGTCCACAAGGGTCGAAGCGTGACGCCTGTGGCCTCTTCTCTGCAACAGCTTGGACTGCATAATTTACCAAAAATAAACCGGGGTTTTTTTTCTCCCTTCCCTAGAAACAACAAGATAAAAATCCTGATTTCTGATAACAGCGGGGGGTGTCTGGGCAGAAAAGAGAGGCAGACCGATACATTCTTGTCATCGTTTCCGTTGCACCTCTTTCACAGCAAAGGTCGCCTGAACACCTGCTGCGTTTGTTTTTGTCACAAAGAACATAAATGCCACCTCCCTGCCTACTGCGGCGCTTTAGGGAGTGAAAAATGAGACCCCATCGTAACGTAGACACACACAACACTGATAAATCCTAGTTGTGAAGGTGCAGGCCACGAGCTGTTTGTTTGTTAAATGCAAAGCACATTTTAAACGGGGTATTAAGCCAAACAAGCACGTTTTATGTTTGCTGGAGATAAATTAAAGGGAGATGCGCGTTTGCATTGTTTGCTTTCTTTGAAATCGCTGAAATGTCTTGTGATTGTCAGTTGGAAGTTTTCTGCTTCAAAACAGAGTGCAAGCTGGAAATGAAACATCTCAGTGTTTGGCAAAAAGTACAGGAATCACACAGTCACCAGTACAAAAACATATTTACAACCTTTAGGTTGGTTATGGTGTATTTATAAAAATGTAGTAAACTAAGTTCCCATACCTCAATCTACATCCTTCAGACATTTTTGATAAATAGTCATCAGTAATGTGGATATAATGACTAAGTTGGTGAAGGTAAATCACTTACTGTGATGCAGCCTTTAAAAGCAGGAAAAGACAACACTTTTGCCATATTACGATATCCAAAATCTCAGAAGATATCTACGTATATCAATATAACATCGATATAGTGCCCCGCCCTTGTACCACGAGGCTCTTGCAGGCCCCGTCACTACTCATTGTCGTGTGAGAAAGTGTCCTTATGTCAATGCCACAACGGAATCTGACGCATGTAAGGTCACTGTGACCTCACAAAAGATGTTTTTTTTCATAACTCAATAATTCAAATGCTAGTTCTGACGATTTCACACTAATGTCCAACAGGATCACATTATAAAGTGACGTAAACTGCAACTTGACTGGTTGAAAGGAGGCCTACAACGTTTTTTTAGTATATATCCACCATATGTATATGTTTTTTATTTTATTTCTCCAACTAGTCAACGACACGGAGGAAGTGGGGCCCCTGCAGACGGTGAACATCAGCAACCCCGACACCACCAAGTGGATCCTGCGCGACCTGGAGCCCGTGAGCAAATACAAGCTCTACCTGCGCTCCTGCACCAAGGTGGGCTGCGGGCCTGTCGTCAGCGAGGAGTGCACCACCACCCTAGAAACAAGTGAGTGATGGGAGGGTCCCGCAAAGCAAGTGACCGGGTGGTGTGTGTGTGTGGGTGGTGTGTGTGGGAGACAATGAAAACACATTCAGGCCGAGAGAAGTAGGTGACGGAGCCATTTCACTATTTCAAAGAAGGGCATTGAACTAGCGTCGTATGATCCGTGCCCCCGAGCAGCGAAGCTTTTCATATCTCCATGTAAGTCATTTTTGTGGATAAACAATTTCATACGGATGCAGTGGAGGTTTTCATTTGTCACTGTCACAAGAGAGCAAGTGCTTATTGATTGGAAATTGGAATTGGAATTTGAGCTATGAAACAATCAGCAAAGAAAGAAAATTGCTTTGAGCAGGAGAGGAAACTGAAGGTTCTGATACTGAATTGTGTAATCACGAAAAGAGTTGCCGGGTAAGTAATCACAATGAGCCGGCTAGCAGCTTGTAATCTTTTTCTTTTCAATTACATATCATTTGTTGAGGACTGCGCGCCGCCGCACTTCAGGCTGGCGAGAACTCAAAAGTCGAGCCTCAGTGAGATTGCGGGGCGGCGGGTGTGATGACCGACCGGACGGGAAATGAAACAGGAAACAGCAGGAACAGATACTGTCAGCAGAAATAATTGGCCGGGGCACTTCTTAATACAAACGCACCCCGAAGGCTTTAAGTGCGTCATTCAGGTCGTGTTATGCGAAAACAAAAAAACAACAAACGGCTCAACTTAATGTTGAAACACGCTGCAGGTGTTTTGCGAGCGATTACTTAGTGTTTACTGAAAGAATCCTCACAATCACGGAGAGGAACTTAATTGGCTCTTAGGGAGTTGTTTATTTGCATGCTGAAAAGTCAGCCAAAAAAAAGAAGAAGAAATGATAACAGGGAAGAGGAACATTTTTTCTGTATTGAGTTCTGTGGAGCTGCTGCACGCGCTGTCGCTACGTGTGTTTATGTCGGTGTCGTTTCTGTGAATTGTCTTTCGCTCATGCCTCTAAAACCTGCTTAGCTTTGAGCGTTACCTTTGGTCCCGCAGTGTGTACTGTAAATGTCTGAGTGTGTGTCAACATCTGCTTAGCATTGCCTGTCCCTTCTGTCTTTTTTCTCTTTCTTTCTGTCTTTCCTTTTTTTTGTTCTCCCCCCTCCCCCGCAGCTCCCACATTGGCTCCCACTGTCGGCCTCAGTATGTAGCTCTTGTGTTCACGTATAGAAACTGTGGCATGTCACACCTTGCACATACAACGGGAACGCCTCATTTGGAAATTTCTAAATTCGCTGTATGCTGGTGTGACATGTTTCCGCAGTCGTGGTTATCGTGTAAGGTAGCGGCTGCATGCTTTTTTAGATGTAGAAATGTGGACAGGTGTGGATGCTACAGGGCCTGAATAAATCATCAGGTTTTGACACTCGAACAGGTCGACGCGCTTTATTTTTCCTGTGCCAAATTAAAAAGCTCCGAACACTCGGCTCCTCCGCAGATAATTGACCTTGTCGGCTGTTTGCCCTTGCCATCAGCGGAGAGCACTCCGATGCCTCCTTTCATTAGAACTTCTTAAATAAAGTTTGTGGCTTCCTCTCTAATAGCAATGGTAATGAGTAACCCAATTATAAATTCATATTAATCTGGGCTCATTAGTGACTGTAAACGAATATTGACTTTTATCCTAACAACAGCAGACTCAGTGCGATGCGTCTAGCTCAAGCTGAGGAAATAAATGATGCTTTAAGAGGAAGAGCATCTGACATGCATTCTTCTCCCTCTCAATGATGTGCACAAAGACAATGTGTTCACTTTAAGAAGGATAGATCAAGTCAAATACAAATAAAAAACATCTCACCTTGTGTATAAAATCTGTAAAATGTTTTTTTTTTTGTTTTCCGAGTCTAGATTGTTTCACAGTAGACGTGACTAGTTACTAATTTTAGAGTTTAGCTGAAAATAGCATGCGTGCTAACAGTAGAACGTAGCGCCCCGAGCTCTGTCCCGATTGATAACCACAAGGTCTGTCTTTCTTTTCAGGCAAGTCAGCTTCCCCCTCACCTCCAAGCACTCCAAAGTCCCCAGTGACCAAACGCACTCGCTCCACCATAGGTAGAGCGGCAGCACATTCCGACACAACGAGCATCCCTCCACCGAGACAAACCAGAGCTGTAGAGTAAAAGATAGAAAAGCAGGAAACTAAATACGAAGGCCGATTAGCTATTTCAGATTCTCTCTTTGTGCCATTTTATAGTTTGTAAAAAAAGACAAGTGCATCGTACGGAAGCCCGAAGAGAAAAGAAGGGGAAGAAATTCTGGTGATCCATTTTCTAGATCTTATCTAAATGTTTTTCTCACCTGTGTTCATGACTTAGGAACAGGTGATGTGGTGCCAGGATCATCTTTGCAAGTTCCTTTTTATTATTTTTTATTTTAAAAAGTTTAGCTGGGGTCATTAGTAGTATTTTGAGAAAAGGTTCCTTATTTTGGCAAAATTTGTGTATTATTCATATACCCCTAAACACATAATAATTTAAATTATTGATATGATATAAATAAGTGTACTAGATCATGGGAAATCATGTGATTCGCTAAGCTGAAGATGTATCACTGTCGAGAGTTCTTAGGACTATGAAAGCACTGCACTTGTTTGCACAGTGGTGTTACTGAATGAAGCTTCTCTTTCCTCATAAGTACATAAGTACAGTCAGAGAGAAGCACGGAAACCCACCGTCAAGTTACAAACGGAGTTTACGTTCAGTGAAATGTGACCCAACGCCAGCGTTGTTTGTCATTTTAACCAGTAAAAGCAACAGTGGCATTATGAATCAATAATTTATTACTGTAATAACACATGGTCCTCCAGGGGAATATCCTCAGCTTTTCATACCTTTTAGCTTTCTCCAAACAGTAACAGCGCCTGCAGAAAAAACAGCTTTGGTGGCTGGGTGCTCAAATTTTAGCAAGGTCGGAGTAGAGTTGGTTTGACCTCATGATGCTTAATACTCATAATACTGGGTGCACGTTCGGCCGTTTAAAACACTTCAAAACCTGCAGGTCAGACACTTCACTTAGAATGATTACACTGGCAAAACTAATGCGATCAGACTCAAACAATTGGTCACCAGATCTTTTTTGTGTCCTCACAGGGCTTCCGTAGGTAGCATGCTGATGAAAAAGCTGGTTTTAATTTCCCGGCTGTACCGCGGGGAAACCTAAGATACGAGATCTATATTTGCCAGCCCGACAGTGAAGCGCTAGATTGCAGTCACTTGAAGGGGACAGATATGTCTAATTGTCAGTGATTGATTTGTTGGGCCTCGGCCCCCCCCCCCTCCCCCTCCCCTGCACGCGTCAGAGTATTGACCGAACAGTCACCTGACATTTCCATGTAATCTTCAACTGGGTAAACAGCAACATTGCTCAGGGACAAGAAGTCGTCCGGCGCACCAACCGAGCCGAGAGGGCCGGGCCGGGGGGGGAGGTGCGAGCTCAAACTGGGAGGGTGATATTTACGGGACACTGAGATAAGTGGATAAGTGGGAGCTGTTGGAAGCTCCTATATCCGAATATTTTCTGGCCTCTCCTATAAAAACTTAAATAGAAAAAAGCCGTCTGACTTTGAAGCACCAGCTCCCTGCTGGGCGAGCAGCTGCTTTCTGCAGCATTTAATAGCAAGCTGAGGGGCGCAGTGACAAAACACGGCAGCCGGCCCTGGGACATTTTTACTTTTGGGGGGCCTTTGTCAGTCCAAGTCATCGGGGTACTTCCAGTGATTGGAATTACCATAGTTCGCAGACTAATCCATCAACATTAGCTCGAGAGTGTCATCTGCGGTGGTTGGGACGGGCGCCGCAGGTGTCCTTGCGTGGAGAATTATCACCTGAGCCAATAATGCACCTGAGCTGGAGACACGGCAGAAGATTTTGCATGTTTGCCGTGGGGAAATGAAGTGGATTGTGCTTTGTTGACTGGCTCTGGCAGCTGCTGTCAAAGCACACTTCCCCCATACTAATGATGCACATCATTCACTCCATTATTAGATTGTTTGTCTTCGCAGTTGGGTATCAAAAGGCTACATTACATGATATGTCTGAGGCAGGCAAAGCTTAAAGCAGAGGGAGTTTCATCCTGCTTTCAAAGCAAATAACATCAAATGTAATTATTAAAGCCCGCTTGTAATTGGATCTTCAAAGAAAAGGAGTATACCAGGGCTGTAGTTACCATTGAGGACATAGGGCTCATGTCCTCACTGTTCTTAATGGGTATTAAATTACACATGGTTGGCTTCAAAGGCGGATTCAGATTTATATATTTTTAAACTAAGATTCGGAGCTGAAACTGTTATTTGATTAGTCAATCGACAGAAACAACATTGATCGTTGATTAATTGTAAAGGATTTGTTGCTCCTATCAATTTTATATCACACATGGATAAAAATGTATTTGTGTTTGGAGCTGAGTTGGACAGAATGAGACGTGCAGGCGTGACCTCGGGGCCTGGGAACAGCTGCTGGGCATTCTTCACTATATTCAGTGACTAAATGATTCATCAGTCATTGGGGAAATGATCAGTAGATTAATAGGTAATGAAATTAAATTTGACTGCTTTTATACAATAAATAAACCCAAAGGAATATAATACACATATTTCACAACCAGACATTACAGGAAATATGAGATAAAAAAAGTACATTTTATGTTTTTTGGCAAGTAAAAAAAATTGTCGGAATTTGACAGAGCCAAGGACCCATGAGATAATATACCAGGGACCCTTTCATGTATGTCTCTTGAAATAAATTGACACATTACCTTTTTACACGTCTATAGTCGGAGGTATGTGAAAGAACGACAGGATAGAATGATATAGAAAGATATTAGACGTGCGTCACACATATCTGCAGATTCTAAGAGTTACAGATTTGAAAGATAAGAATGTTATTAATTCTTTCAAACTATATTGAACATTTAATAATCGTCAAAGAGTTTGGATGGCAAATCTCCCAGGAGATCTTTGTGTATCTCCTTTAACCTCCATTTCAGTATCTCTTGTCCCGAGGGACTCACCCAATGTCCCCCTCTCAGACGTAATGGATACCTCCTTACAATAGTCTTGGGAAACAAAAGAGCTCTCTGGCTTTCTTTAATAGAAGGTGACGAGCAACTTCCTCATCATCTCAAAACAACCTCTCCACGACGGCTTCGATCTGCTGCGTCCTTCACTAACCACTCTTTAACCATATCTCTTCTCTCTCATCTCACCTCCAGCCCCGGCCCTGTTGAGCTTTAGCTCAGCAGTTAGCGACAGCTTTGCAAATATCAGCTGGATATCTGGAGGAGAGCACACAGAGTTTTATATTGCACATGTGAACAACCGTAAGCTCATATTACTCTTCTCTTTTTTTAGTCTCTGGTAGTTTGTGACGAGTGAGTTTTAGTGACAGTGTGTTGTGCCTGTAATCGTCCCTCCGTGTCTCTTCATTCATACACTGTTGGATTCAATGCTTGTGTGTTGTGGTCACCGGTACTAACCCGTCCTGACCGTTCGCCCTCTGCACAGGTGAGGGTGTCTGGAAGATATCAGAGGCCTTAAACACCTCTAAGACCTTCCACGTCATCGACGGGCTCGACCCCGGGACAGAGTACACTGTGCGCCTTATTCCTAACAGCTGGCTTGATAATTCTAGCATATTTGAAGACGTTATCACGACCGGGTCAACAGGTGAGGAGGGGGATTCCAAACAGCAAAGGAAGACACAAAAGGAAAAGCAGGCAAAACTAAATGACCTCTCGTGGTGCACCCCTCCGCGTCCTTGAGCAGTGACTCGAGCCTCGGCGCGTGGTCCTCGGCGTTGTCACTCGGATTTTAATTCAGCCGCGCGGACCCGCCGAGAGGAATTACATTTGTACAGCGTCCCTTACTTGATTAATTAGACAAGCGGGATTAGCTGTTTAATATTAATATTGGACCGTTTCCAATCAGCGGCGGGCCCTGCCACCCTCTGCCTTTTGCATCAGATAGGCTCTGTCGATGTAAACATTCAATCAAGTGTCCACGGTGAAAAGGCCAAGGCGTGTCAAAGTCACCGGGTTTTGTCCTCCTCAGGTCTGGCCAGCGTCCACGGAGGAATATCCACCCAGGGCTGGTTTATCGGCCTGATGTGCGCCATCGCTCTCCTCACTCTCATTGTGCTGATCGCATGCTTTGTCAACAGAAATAAAGGAGGGAAGTATTCCGGTAGGTGCTCGCCGTCAAGCGCACACGCACACACACACACACACGTCACCTTGCTTGAATAGTAAATGCTGCTGGGAGCATCATTATATTTCTATTCAGCTGTTTGTTGCCAAGAGCGAAAGGATTAATCAAACTTGCAGCCATTACAGGAAGCAGGTTTTTTTTGTTTGCTTCCAGCCACAAAATTATTTTTTCATGCAAATTCACACATGAAATAGGCTTGTGTACAGATATGAAAATAAGCCTTTCTACTGTATGTCCATCATTTGAATCTGGCATTATTAAGACACGCAGCTTTTTTTTGTTGTTGTTTTTTTCCGAGTAGCAATCTAAACAAAGCCCACAGCGAGACAACATGCAAATGCTGCACACGGGGTGGCCGAGCAGGGAATGATGACATAAGCTCCGCGGTGCCTCAATGTTATTCATCCTGTTGGGGACATGAGGGTCCTTATGGCCTTTATTATTCACGGCTAATGGCCATCAGGTTGTCGTCCGGGCAGCGATCACTCCGCTCGTCAGCAGAAAAAAAAAAAAAAAAAGCGAGACGCAGCCCTGTCCTTTGTTTTCTCATTAACTTCTCATTATCATCCGCAGCTCCGACAAGCTTTTCTCTCAATCCCTTACGTGTTTTGGGGTTTTTTTCCCCTGTTACATCACATACAGAAGTATACTTAATGAATGCACACTGTTTGAATTTATATAAAAAAAAAACAGTTTGTTCAAGGTGCAGCTTGATTATGATCTTAAATGAGATTTATAATGACAGAACTTAGATGTAAAAGGTGTTTTTGAGTTGATTGAAATGTCGCAATCGTTTCCCAAGGCTTGCGGTGCTCTTTCATTAAGTGAATATAAGTGCAGGGAATCGGGGACCGAGGCTGGAACCTCATCGGCAGCCGTCTCTCGGGGGAAATCGCTGATATCTTCTTTTCACTTTGTGAGCAGTGAAAGAAAAAGAGGACCTTCACCCAGACGTGGAGTCCCAGGGCATGAATGACGACACATTCTGTGAATACAGGTAAGCGGAGCCCCCGGAGCGCTATTTCACCTCCTCACTGCAATTCACGTGCAACAGTGTATGAAATCCTCCTCTGCTGTCCTCTTCTCTCCGCTATTCTCTCTCTCCTCTCGCGGAAAAGACAACCCAGAATGCACGAGGTGCAGCCTTGCGCTTCCGCTGCTCGAGACATTTGATGGCCCCCCCCCCCCCCCGCCGAGTACCCGGAAAGTATGTGATAAACAGCAGGTAGCATCCCTGAGCTGTTTACACATCGGTGTTGTCCGAGTGGTAGCATCCCTTTGTAGGTGCTCTTAGATACGGTGTTGTGTTGTTGCTAGTGATGCACGTGGGGTCGTGTTAGGAGCCGCGGCGACGCAGGCTAGAACCAATCAGTGTCATTGAAAGCGTGTGACGGGATTTATACTCCGTCATGTCGACTCCTGACGGTTTTGTTTGTGTGTAAAGTCCCTCCTAAGTTCTCTTAACTACGAGCTGGTTTCAGACCAGCGGTTAACTGTGGTAGTGGTCCTTTAAACTCAAAAGGAACAGTTCAACATTTTGGAAAATGTGCTTGTCGGCTTTCTTGCGAGAGTTAGATGAGAAAATCCATCAATCTGATGTCTGTACCTTGTTTGGGAAAGGCGGCCCGCTGCCTTTATACTTCCCGCCTAAAGGCAGCCGGCCGGGTTTGGTTTTTTGTGCGATTCATTTGCACGTTGATATATTTCTTCGAAGTGTTTGTCATGAATACTTTCATATATAATCCAAATATTACAGGGCGGAAAATCAAGAACAAGAATTGTAAAAGAATAATATTTATGAAAGAACCCGGAGGCTCCATAGTCCAAACCAAGGCCTTTGCAGAGAAGGTTCTAGAGACAGTACAGGAGTGATGGTAGCGTCATAATGACCGTACAGACATGAGTGGTATCGACCTTCTCGTCTAACTGAGCAAGAGTGCAAATTAAAGTGTATTTCCAAAATATTTTGCTTTAAGGGAAACAAATCATCCATTCACTGATGGTTGTGTTTCATTCATATACTGGATGCATATGTAGAGACATGTGTGTGCTTAGTCGTGTCATTAGGTCCCTCAGTGAAACGACAACCTGGTTTCACAATTTGGTAGCAAACAGGATACAGGCTGCATGTGCATGTCCACTACCACACACAGTTCTGTTCGCACACTTAACACTTAAGTTACTTTGAATATCAGTTACTTTTCAAAATCCACATGAAACCCTCTTCACATCGTCAGAATTTAGATCGACCACAGCACTTATTTAAAAGAAGAATGTGTCACCAGTTTTCATTAAAACTAAAATAATGACTGGTGTCGCCTATTAACTGCATGAAGGAATCAGAAAACACAAGGCCAAACCGTTCATTAAATTACCGGTTGTGACCGGTTGCTGACAAGCAATGCAGCATTTAAAAAGCTATTTATTTCAAACACAGTCTGGCGCAGCGCTCCCTCCTCATAAAAACAGTGACTCCGTCAGCGTGTTAGCGTGTCGACCCGTACCAAACCTGTTAGTAACCAGTTAGCTTCACTTCAACTGTCTGGCCTCTGTTCCATGTTTGGAGTGCCTAAATCTGGGTGAAACACGAGAGCACAGGATATTACTGAGCATCTGAAACTTCATCAGTGGTGCTCATAATAAATATATGTAGGGGAATACATGAGTGCCTACATTTCCACTTGGCAGATACTTGTGATTTAACTAGGTTAGATTTGACTAAAAGCTGGGAGCGAGCGGCGCTAACTTCATGTCAAAGGCTATAATGTTAGTTGAACTACTTATGAACCTAAATCATATGAAAGCGCGTTTAGCGGTTTAGTCGTCTGGCCAATAGGATGCGTCACAGACCCAAAGATTGTTCAGCTGCAATAGTCAGCAGCGGTTTAATGTCCCCCTCAGTATCTCCCATCACTTCGTCAAATGCATTGATGCACGTATAGTGTGAGGATTAACACCGTCACAACATGTGGGTCCGTGCGATGATTTCCCATTGGTCAGCTCGAGATAGGTCAATGTCAGTCACAGAAGCTCACCGTAGAGGCAGTGATAGCTGCAGCCTGTGCCCCCCCCCAATAAACCATAGAGTGAAGCCAATGGGTGACATGAGGCGATTCTAAATCCACTGCGCCCTCTCTCGCAGTGACAACGACGAGAAGCCTCTGAAGGGCAGCCAGCACTCGCTGAGCAGAGAGATCAAAGCCGGGGACAGCGGGGACAGCCTGGTGGACTACGGCGACGAGGACGTCCAGTTCAACGAGGACGGCTCCTTCATCGGCGAGTACGCGGGGCGGAAGGCGAAGAGAGCGTCCGCCGAGATCAAGGCCGCCATTCAGACCCCGGCGTGAGGAGCGCCATCCATCAACTCCCGGGCAACGTTTTCATCAAATCCCCCCGCCGGGAGGAACACGTGGAAAGTGGGAAACAGACATGATCCATACCGAGCACACACGTTTGGTGTCAAATGTAATGTGTCATTGCCGACTGCACACTGCCACTCTCATTTTATACAGCGTTTCTTTTGTCAAGTCGCAACAGGATGACCGTTACTACATACTGTGTATATATAGTGTATATTGTATGTGCCGAGTGTCTTTTTTTTATAATTATTATTACACAAAAAATACGTAGAGGGCTTGGATTATCTTTTCTTTTTTTTATCTCCATTACGTCAGCTGCTGTGTATTTTGTACAAATGTTCGGAACATTTCACTCTCCACTGCACATCATTATATGCAGCTTTGCCTCTCAGATAAGTGGGAATATCAAGTTGATATTTTTCAAATTGCAGCCGACTGTTACTGACCTTTTGTATTTGAAATGGATTCATTAAATATGATGGAAGATGTATATAGAAGGAAGCTTATTAACTTATTCTATCCAGTGGTTTTGTACCTGACAAAATAACGACAATTTACATATCACCAACAGCGAGTCATCAATCTCCCTGTGATGTTAGAAGAGAAGTGAAATGTAGCTATAATGTGTCTTGTTTCGCATTTAGATTAATTGGACAGAATAAATGACAGGCCTCAGTCTGCTCACTATAAACAAGCCGTACACTGCCGTACCAGATACAGAAGGTATTCAATGATACGATACATCATTATTTATCTGATTATTAGAAATTGTTGTGTAGTCCAGTAAATCACTTTTATACCCGAATTTGTATTAAAAGCACCATTACAGTTGAATCCGGTTTATAGACGGACTATTTTACAATGCCACTATTGCCGATAGCCGGTATTTCAAATTAAGTTTTTCAAGAAGTCGCCTCATACTGTAGTGTTCAGAGGAATAGTTTGACATTTTGGGAAATATACGTATTCGCTTTTTTACGGTAAATATGAAGTCACGGCTTATCTTAGCATAAAGACTAAAAAAGGTAACAAAATCTGTCTACAAAGCATGATAATAAATCATAAAACATCAAACTATTCCTCTAAAGCACTTCTCCAGTGATCTAGTATTGTACTCCAATAATGTTGGAGCTGAGATGTTTTTTTTTAAATGGTTAAAGTGAAAGCGGCCCCTAGTTTGTGTCAAGCTCCAAAAATACCAGATCTTACACTCCCCATAATTCATCTTGCCCGATAAACACCCAAATCCATTAAATTCCACTCCCCTAGTTTGTAACGCAGTCACTTGAGGCCTCAAAGTCCAAATTGGGATAATCCCAGTGACACATCACTGTGACATCATCAGTCTTCTTGACAAAGCACCTCCGGAGCCACAGAACATTATACAACTATGTGATCGTATAGAGTACTATTCAGATTTCCATGTGAGTGTTGGTGAAGTGCCCCTTTAAGAAGAAAGCGCACAGCACCTGTAATGGGATACACCTTGTTTTTTTGATGTAATCAGATTACTGTAATCTGGTTGCGTGCTGAGATGAAATAGACTGTAGTCACCGTTACATCAGTCTTAACAAGCCTTACTCTGTTGCTTCCAATACACTGCCACGCAAAACACAGTCACTACGTCGCTCAGCATTAACATTAGCACCATGATCAGAAAAAGAAAAATTGCAATGTTTTGTAAAAATTCAGCCATTGCATGTTAAGAATGTCGATTGGTGTTTTTTTTTTTTTTGACGTCATTAAAGTTGCTTTACTTTCTTACATCCTGGTAATGGTGTGACTGCCTGTTTGGTCCCAGCCGTCACTGATGGAAGAATATTAATGTTCTCCATGCAGTTCTGTTTGTATGCCTCTACGGGTGAATAAATCTCTGCCTCCACCTCCAGTCAGCGGTAAAACAAATATGACACCGGTTGCTGGTGAAACGTCCTCATTCCCTATGAATAAAACAGAAGATGTTGGACAAACTGTTTCCCCGTTTGTGGTGTGACTTTTACAAATGTCGCGGGCCGGGGTCACGTCTCTTCTTTGAGATGAGCTTCTGGTTTGATTGCTTCGGAGGCAAAAGAGAATCGTAAGAAACCAAAGGAGTGGGCTCAGACAGGCACTGGATCATGGAGCGAGGGCTGTAATCATGTCTGATGGTTGATGGTAGGGAGCGTCGAGTGTCACTGTGAGGGTTCTCACCGCGTGGGCCACATCTGCCTCACACACTCTGAAGCCTCTACCCGCTGCTGCTAATGCGAGCCGTTGCTGAGTGATGACAGCTTTCACATATGCGACCTTCAGGTGTTGATAATGGACCCTCTGACTGCCATTCTGAAGGTCCTCGGCTCTTTGGGCGACAATGCGAACAGCTGGACGCGCATTGCGGGGGGAGCAGCTAATTCTGCAATATTACAATTAATGCTCTCCGTGGAGATGCTGAGTTACAGCACAGCTAGAGAAATATACAGTTTGGACAAAGCCTTTCAGAGGAAATGCTTTGAAAAAGACTTAGAGTTTTAGTGATAAGTCCTTCCTGTGGGGAGAAATCCACAGGCCTTTACTCTTTGTGAAAATCGATTCTGAAGATGAAGGAAACTAGCGGGCTGAAATGAAGTCGCGACAATATCATCAAGACTTTGTCTAAAGCAAGCAGAAAGCCTTCAACAGTACGGACTCATAAGTGCCGTTTTAAATTGTTCAGGCAGAATGCAAAGTGAATTCTAGAGTGTGCATTGCGTACATATTCATTATTATCATATTCCTGTGGTTGTCCGAGGAATTGAGAATGTTTGAACTTGAGCAAAAACAAAACATTGCTTTGTTTCTTGGTCATTGCGAGTCCCTTTTACGGTCATCGTGTATCTTTGTAGTTTTGCATCTCTTTGTGTTCATTGTGTGTCTCTTTGTGGTCATTGTATATCTCTGTAGTTTTGCGTCTCTTTGTGTTCATTGTGTGTCTCTTTGTGTTCATTGTGTGTCTCTTTGTGTTCATTGTGTGTCTCTTTGTGTTCATTGTGTGTCTCTTTGTGGTCATTGTATATCTCTGTGTAGTTTTGTGTCTCTTTGTAGTCCCTTTCTTGTCCCTCTTTTTAGTCATTTTATGTTTCTTTGGGGTCATTTTAAATCTCCACCTGGTTGATTTGTGTCTCTTTGTTGATTTGTGTCTCATGGAAGCCCCTACCTTGTGCACGTGGGTCTGTGCCCGTTAGGCCTGTTAGGTGTTCCGATTGAGTTCTGAGCAGTCTTGATGTTCACAAAAACTATGACTAAATGTTTCTTCAACTACCTTTTTTTTCCATGAGTAAGACAACACGATGACAAGGTGGCGCCAGCGTCATTACACACTTACTGTGACTGCATCAACATGCAATGTTGACGAAAAAGACGAGTGAAAAGTAGTTAAGAGAGAGATAAAGTTACTATTTTTCGTTTCCTTTGACAAAAAAAAAAAAAGACAAAATATGACTTTTCTATTTTTCATTCAATGCAGCAGTGCTGATATGGCGCGGAAAGCACAGGAAACAGGACCTACAGCAGCAGCACAGTCAGGAGGACCAAATAATAATAATTAATAATATCAACAGCAGGGCCTGGGAGAAAGAAACCAGCTGATATTTTGACTAGACTACAATGAGTTAAATGTAGAATGTAATCTGACGACAATAACAGTTTTCATTGACTAAAACTATACTTAAAATAGTAATAATTTTCAAAAACAGCATGCTAGCACAGTCCCCAGATACAGTCGTACACATCATGTCTGCACTATTGATACATTATGTTGGCTGGTTAGGGTGAATAAATAAACTATAAAACATTCCAGCGGTCAAATTTGTGCGAGAATTACTGAACGTGCCTTGACTTAATTAATACATGATGAATATAATTAATGACAATAACAGCAAAATCAAAACTATATCTAAAGCCACAAGCTAGGTTTCATACAGTGGCTATCGTTCAGACAACTCCAGAGTCTTTGACGTCCAGTTGGGGATTTAACACCAAGCAGACAGACGCATACAAAAACAACATGCTGACATCAGTGGATACAGTTAAGATAACATATTTCACATATGTGGCTGATGTTGCAGCTTGAAAAAATGAAAATGAAGATAATTGTCGATGGAAGCATTGAAAGCTTCAAAACAAGGCCTTGGGGATTCTTCGTCATGTGGTCTGGGAGGCTTCGGCATCCTTCACTGTGTTGCTCGTCCATTAACAGCAACCTTCGAAATGACAAAAAAAATCTTATTTAGCACGGTGGATGTCTGACAGCAATGTGTTGAGGGTGGTGGGAAGCCACAGAATGTTTTCAGGAGTAGCAGGCGGCTAGAAGATGATGTCATGTAATGTTCCCTGCTGCTCGTTTCTGGACAGACTTTTCTAAATACATGACGTAAAGCTGCTCGGAGCCGCACAGAGTGGAGCCTCTACCTCTCGCAATTTGGTTCAGCATTAGGAGGAGTTAATAATCCGTGTATAGACAAACCCCCTCTCAAAGGACACGGTACCATCCACTTTGCAATAATGTGTCTGACGCTCATAACTTACCCTGCCCTTATTATCATAGCATTTAGCTTAATATGTGTGTGTGTGTGTGTGTGCATAGTATCTTTACATTCGAAAGGCCTCTGTACTGGTGCTGCATTATGTTACTAATAGTTTTCAACCAACATTTTTTCTTTTAACTCATTGACTAAAGAATTGACACTTTGCAACTTTATGTATTTTACAATAAAATATTCACAATGAATTTATGAAGAAAGGTGCCACAAGCGCACTCTTTTAAAAAAAAGATAAATAATTCACTAAATATTTACAAGGATTATTCACCTCCTGCTCCTAAATGTGTTGGTACATATTCCTGTGTTTGCTGTTTGATAACAATGAATAAATGAAGATCAATGATACACAGGAATTTTAGGGAAAATAGTCTACTAATGCTGAACCGGCTCTTTTTTTGGGAGAAGTTAGGATTAAGCTCGACTTCTGCCAATCAAAATCCGGCGACCAGTTCATTGGGAGTGGAACAGTTAATTCTAATTTTGTATCGACAACAAAGATCGATAATATCAATATCTGCGGTTTAACGACTGAGCTCAAGTTTGTTTGGGTTAGCATAGCATAAAGACTGGTAGAAAGGCTAGCTGTTTCCCTCCGCCCCCAGTCTTTATGCTAAGCTATGCTAAGCTAAGCTAAACACGCGCCAACTCTAACATGCAGAAATTAAAACCAACATCAATCCAATCATCTCATTCTCAGAGCAAAAGTGTATTTCACAAAATGTTAAACTATTCCTATAGATGTGAGCTCTGATTATTTACTTACTCATAGTGTCTACATCAGCAACAGCTGGTGTTAATGTAACTGGTGGATCTCAGGGATTCCCCTTTACACATGAGCAATGCTGGCTAGCTTTGAGCATTGAGCTTTGACACCAACATTTACTCAACAGCCGATTGAGAAAAGCAAACACTCCATCCGAAATCTCAGCCACTTGCAACATCCATCCATCCATCCATCCATTATCTTTAATCAAACCCCATCTTGCTGTGAGGCGACAGTGCTAGCCACCACACCACCGGGCAGCACTACCTGCAACAATAAGCTTCAATTATTGATACGAGGACAACGGGGACAGTCTCCCTTGTGTGAGGTCTTAAATACTTCCTCTGGATCCCATTGCTGTATCGGTTTCAGAGTGACATTTTCTGTGCCTCTTTTTACGTCCACTTACTTGCATTAGATGGAGGCGGGGTCAGGAGGAAGCTACGGTGTGTGATGCTGGGACAGAGCCAGTATTAACAGTTCAATAATGACAATTTTATAGTCAGACAAAGTGAGTATAATTCAGACACCAAATGTGTTTTTACATTTGAATTAGTTTTGGCCCCAAAATAATAATAATTCAGTGATTAAACCTTAAGTTTAGTCGATGTCCCCACAGTGTTTGAAACCTTTGTACAGTGTTTTGTTCTTCATGTAGAAAACATGACTTCATACAAAATACACATATG